GTGCAAAATATACATGATTATATATAAAGGAGGAGAGACTTGCTTATTGAGTTAAAACTCTTAAGAATCTAAAATCATATAGTATTTCTTATTGAGACAGGAAGCAGACAGACATGCATGCTGAAAAAAGCCTCCAAGCAACAAAACCTATTTTATACGTCTCCCACTCTCATGATAGTGCACTTGCAACTTCATGGAGATGTCCAGAGAGGCAATTATTTTTCCAGAAGAATCAATATATGGATATGAAATTAACTTCTGAACATCAAATTCAATTACCCTCTGCGGCATGGTTTGAATTTTAAGGGCCACATTAATGATTGCAGCTTCTGAGAAGCTGGCCCCACCCTGCAAATAATATTAGAAAGTGATGCAAGCTCCGATCGATTGACTATTAAACCACAGCACTCAAAAATCTGATAAGAGTTTTAACTTAGTGTTATTGATGTTTAAACAACATTTATAAAACTGACTGCCTTAATACTGTTAAAACATATAGCATGAGGGCAGGAGCTAATCGTTACCGCTGGAATTAACTGAACGCTGATGGCCCAGATTTTTCCTCCTATTTTAGTGCAAAGGTTCGATTGACACAAAATCTTTGAACCTGCCTTGTAGCTGTCTCTCAATGGCGTCTGATTGGTAAATATTCTCCTTCAGCGTTGTACTTGAAGCAGATTTAATTGAGTTCTCCATTTCACATATGACATTAAGCATGGTAAATAACCTACAAGGCAGGCTGATAATGCCACAACAGAGACTCCCTCCATCAAAAGGGTAACACTCAAATATTGATGCATCTGCAAATAAAATGCTTTTGCAATACATTATTTTAACCATGGAATAACTTTTTAAAAACTGGTCGACAAAAAATTGTGTGTCCAAACTAGAACTTCCAGCTCATGGTGAAGTTTGAAGCTTGTCTTTCTGCTCCTTGTATATTTTTTAAACTGCGCAAATCATAAGTTAAAAGAAACGCTTATCTGTGACAAGAATATCCCATTTATTGGAGCTTTTTGAGCAACTCTTAATTTTTAAGACAAATTTTGAACATTAAATTGATTTTACAAGCATCTACCAGATCCAAATCATAATTGTTCTTATCAGAAATTGTAGAATTAATTTAGATAGCTGGTTTTCTGGTCACTTCTAAGCATGTTCCAAAATGATTCCCTAGTAAGTAGTAGGAGTGTAAATAATAATGGTTTTGTATCGATGCATCGATCCAACAGCCGACGATCCGATGGATCGATACGTCCGCAAGAGTATCGGTTCATGTTTTTTTTTTTCCCTCCGGTCTAATTTTATCCATTTCCTCCTGGACGTAATTCTCCCTCCCGTGCTGCGGTGGCGCTAAACCTATTTTGCCCTCCTACCTCGCTTCCTGGTTATACTCTTACATCAGTGTGTTGCAGTAAGCTTGACACAGACATTTTTCATTTATGCTCAATATGGAAGCGTGGTCTGTGCTACACGCTGTGGGTCTAGATACGGCAGAGGTGGTGAGAAAGTGGGGGCGAGTTTAGTCCAACGACGGAGGGACATGAGGACCAAAAAGAGCGGAGATCCAGGTAAAAAAAGGGTCCCAGCGTTCCTGCGCACCTCGCTCTTCTAGCGGGTCAAACTTCACGAGTTGTTTTCCGCAATTTCGGTCATAAAAACAAAACAAGGCGGCCTCCTGTCTGCTGCACTGTTTGCGGTGAGCTACAATTTGGGAGAGGTGCAGCGGAGGGGGGCGGGGACGTCTGGAGCTGAGGTATTGCATTGCACTCATTGCACTGATTTTGTGCAGTATTTTTTGATGCAAGGCCTTTCAGAATCTATAACGCAGGGGCATTATTATTTATCAGTGAATGAGGTTTTAATAGGAATAGGTGGAGTGCAACTTTTCTACTTCTTTTATTTGCTGTTGTTTCTAAAAAAAAAAAATGCATAAAGATATTACAGCTTTCATTGATTTATTTCAAATTTGAAACATTGTCTTGCCTGTAAGGTGTAAAAAAAAAGTCACGTTGACTCAATTTATACAAACATACAAGAAGACCAAGAGAAGATTTTTAACACATACCATACATTTAATTACAAAGCTACTGTTGATCCAAGATGTCATATGTCCTATGTAAGCTTTATCATACCAAGCTGCAGAACCAAGTCCATTAATGTATCCCTTATTACATAACATGTTGCTGCATGGTAAAATTCGATTTGTGTATAAAATAGAAAATAAAAACAAGTGAGCTGTTGGTCTTTTATTGTAGACAGGCCACTGTGAGTAAGGGATCTAATCAGGGGATGCAAAAGACAGCAGTCTAATTGCATCATTAGCTAAACCACTGAGTCAGTCAGACTTCAGTCTCACCCTTCCCCCAGCCCACCGTCTTCTGCCCCATCCAGAAATAGGGAGCCAGGCCTCCAGCTCTTTACTGTACAGCTGCTCAAGCAGAATAATTCTAGCATGTTATGTGCAACAGCGCAAAATGTTAAAGTTCCATAAATATCCGCAGAAAAAAAAAGAAAACACAACGTTAATGAGAGTGCTATATGTTGTCATCAAGACAATTCAAGCAGTCATATGTATGCTTGCATTTGTCCTCCAGGGAGTGGTGAGGATTCGTTTTCGAGCTCGGATTCATATTGTAATGATGCTTCCGCAACATGCAAGACATAGACCTGTCTAAACTGACTAAGCTCAGCTTGCCTGAACTATCCAGATTGTGGCCAGAGGTAATCATCACACACAGGTGCACCTTTGTGATCTTGATATCATGTGATTTTTAACGGGGGGGGGGGAAATCTCTCTTGATGCATTGAAATTGGTACAGTGCCACAGTCTTTTTTTAGACTTCCTGCTGTTCTTGTAGGAATGGTGGGTAAAAGAGCCAATTCACTAGCTTTCTGGTTTGGATGATTTCCGGGCCTTCTGAGGGGTGGTTTATGCTTTGCAGGCAGTGAGTGACTGTTGTCTAAATGGAACCGACCTAAGATTGTAAAGTGATCATGATTGACACATGATCAATATAAATAGCAAATATGTCTGAAAAAGGTTTGAATAAATCCACTAAATTCCAATCCAGAACCACATGGTATACTGGGGGGATGTAGGTGGAGTAAAGGATCTATCCTCTCCATGGCTGAGAGCAATAATACACAAGTTAGGTGGTAAGCTGACCTATTTTAAAAGGTTCAAGGTCACATTTAGATAGGGTTAGGGATATAAACTAAATTCAGCCTTTTTTTTTTCCTTCCTCGTCCTTATTTTAAGTAGGTAAAGGAACCCTAGTCGATGTCTATTGATAGACCAATATGAAGGGCTCATATAGTGACATAATTTTTCAGCATATCGCCTTGCCATAACTCCACAGCCCTCCAAGCAGAGCCTATAGGGCTTTGCGATATGGCTGAAAAATGCATCACGATACAAGCTTTTCATATCAGTTGATTTAGTTTTTTTAAACCATAAAAAAAGGAAAAAAGGTGATAAAAAGATGAGCAAATAGAAACACTAAAAGTAAGCAGTAACCTTCACAATGAGGTCATCTCCTACCATCAACCTTGTTTATTTTGGCCATGAGAGATGGAGAAGCTAAACCCTTTCCTCTTCCTACATCCCCCAGAATGCAATGTGATTCTGGATTAGACTAGGGTGAAATTATAGATCTTTCTATCAAACCTATTTTGTATTTATATGGATCATGTTTCTATTATTATTTATAGATGCAGTACAGTAAATACAAAATAAAACAAACACAACCAGAAATATTTCTAAGTACTTTGTGTGTATTAATCCATAACTGTCAGTTTTGCTGCTCAAAGGGCCCAAATCAGCAGCAGCTTAGTTTGCGCCAAGCTGACTCTGAAGGAGATCATTCCCTGGTAACTAGTCATCAGTTTACCAGAAGAGAAGCTGCTTTTATTTCCTGTTAATGTTAAAAGAAAAAAAGGGAGGTGAAAACAACACCTCTGGTTGTTCCTGTTAAAAGTGCAAAAGAAAATGTCAAGCCAGCAACTTGCCACAATCCTCCCATAAGTGAGGACAGCTCTTTCTATTGAGTCATGGTGCAGAGAGCTTCTCTGAGTTACCGTTTCCTGTCACAGTGGTGATTTGAATCTCAAGACTCTTGGTGTGTTTGGTTTCCCTGTGTCAGACAGAGATGGCTCAGGTCTTCTAACCTGCCGCACCGCATTAGCAACAGCTCTGCTGCAGCAGCAGCTGCTGAGGATGGAGAGCTCCTGAAACTGGCGGCTCCATGTCGGCTCACATCTGCACAGCGACGCTGTTTCCACTCATATGTTCAGCGCTTCTCTCAGCTGTGAGCGTCTCCTCCTCACAGAAGCGTTACTCGACCCCCCCCCCCCCCCCCCCGGGACTGCATGTCAATCCGTTTTAACCCGAATTGTGGCGAACCTGATGCTGCCCAATGAGAACGCTAATAATGACTACAACGACCATAATATGTTAATGGCTGAAAAGCTATCAGAGCCATTATTAGGTTAGGAACGCTCTGATCTCATACAGATTTCGACACCATTAGCCGCAACTTAACATGACAGACGCCGCGTTAACAATAAAACCCAGCTTTGAACGCAGCTGAGCTCATTTCTGTTATTTATACATGTTTAAATAACCTAAATAACACTTGTGGTGAGAGAAAGGGATAAATATTGAACCCTACCTTTGACAGAAACCTTCTCTTCCTTCTCGGATGGGGGTGAAGACCCTCTGGACTGCTCTCATACAGCTACCATGCGCTGCAACTAAACCCCGCCCACTCACCCTAAATGCCTTCTTATTGGCCACTCAAAGCACAACTGCAGACAATCCGGAGCGCGTGATTGGTTGTAGTGAGCTGCCAGTCTTTTTGGATTCCTCTTCCCGCGCCCTGAATAGCTTTCCTTCATACGCTACATTATACAGCCTATATTTAGGCATTAAACAAGCAAGTAAAAACAAGTCAAAGTGACCTCCACCAGCAATACACCGCAAGGCATGACAAACCGCGTCTTCACACTTATGCTTTTAATGTCAGGTTGCACAATGAGAGCCGTCAAGAACAAGAGGAAGCTATTTAGATTATAAACCAAACAGGGAAATGCAGTTAAATCCTATGGAAGTCATTTGTGGCAACTAGCCAGTGATAAATTCCTCTTTATTTGCAGCCATGACTTTATCTCATGCAAAGGAAGCAATATTGTGAGATTTAACTAGGTGCCAGTTTCTCCAGTGGTGATGGAACATGGCTGCAGTTAGTCTTTCAGAATAAGAGGAGCTTTGACTTGAGCTGCAACTTCAGCCCCCATCAGCTCTTCTACGATCGTCAGGGCAAACTCAAAACTGGTTCCTGGCCCACGGCTGGTGATGTAATGCCCATCCTTTTGCACTCGAGCCTCTGAATATTTATAGTGATCTAAAAAAGACAAAGAACAATAAGATTAACATGATGGCAGTGTACGCCTAGAGCAAAGAGCCACAGCTAAGAGATACACAGACTGACGATTTGCCTTTTTTTTTTCCACCACTGCACTTAGTTCTAGTATATTCTGTCGAATTCCTGCATCATCCATCACCTCAGAGTGCTGTGCACTGCACTCCAACTGCAGAATGACATGATTCTTTACAAGAAAATGAGAGCTAGTACAGCACCATCTGCTGCTCTTTACAGATACTTACAGTTGCACCTGCAGAGATGCATTTGAGAGCTAAAGTGTTTTGCAAAAGTATTCATACCCTTAATATATATCACCATCTTAAATGACCACACAAACCAATACATGACATGAAAGTTTGACAGATTGCATTTGTGTTCAGATCCCTGTGTAAATATAGTTCAGTATAATTGCATTGCATTTTGTGTATGTTTACAGCAGCTTTCATACACTCCTACTGAGGTTAAGCTATTTTTCAAAGACAAAATAACAAACTTGCTAGATGTCACAATGCATCTCATTATTCAAACAAACAAAAAAAAAAAGTTGGATTATTTTATGCATCGATTCTTCTTTATTGAAACGTTTCACATCTTCTCCAAGAATGACTACTGGTCTGGTTCTGGGTTTTGGTTTTGGTTCCTGCTTTTCACAAAATTGCTGCCTCTTTGGGTTTGTTGTGTGCTTTGAGGCAAGCCAACTTAGGCTAACCTGAAAAGCCATGTCCTGCATACATCTTTGCCTGCCGGTCCTTGAAGCTCTGACTCCAGCTGCGATCTCTGAACCACCCAAACATTTTTGAATGGGCTTTGCTTCTCCTTTCCAGGGTGACATTATCCCTGTTGCTTGTACCCCCCAATCACATCTTTTGCCTTCCTTCACCTCTGTCAAAGCGCTTGGGCACAGACCTCTGCAAACAGCCAGCTCCTTTACAAATGACTGTGCAAGGTGTCAATGGTCGTCTTTTGGACAACTAAGTTTATATGTTTCCACATGATTGTGTAGCCCACAGAACTACTGCAGCTATGTTTCCATTGACCATCTATTTGTGCAAAATGTAATTAGGAAAAGAAATTTGCTTCAGTGTGGTGGTTTATTTGCAAAGAAAATATTTTTTTCTCATCACACGAGTCACATGATCTGCAACTGAACCTTAGTATCTTGTAAAGTAAAAGTAAACTTGTAACAAGATTAAGAAGAAGCTCATTAGAGCAGGGGGGGCAAAATATGGTGTATCTCATGTGTTTATATCCACAGCTGCCATATATTCAGACTTACTGCATGAACTAACGTACCCACAGAGGTGGGCAGAGTACCCAAAAACTGTAATCAAGTAAGAGTAGCAGTACCTCAACATTTTTTTACTTGACTAAAAGTAAAAAAGTATTAGATAAAACGGGTTTTTGAGTATTAAGTAACTGTTAATGTTTAGAGATTATGCAGACAGGGTTGTGCTTCAGTGATGCAGCACTTAGCACGAAAGACCCATTTCCTGCCAGCCCACCAAAAGAAAAAAAACAAAAAACAAGCCACTAGTGCTGTAAAAACCTTAAAAAAAAAAAAAATTATGTAGACAGAATTTTTAAATAAATGGATAATGAATATATGTGTCATGAATACAAAGGAACAATTTCATGAAGAGGAAATATTTTCACCAACTCCAGGGAGAGCGGTATATATGTTTGGACAGGGTAAAGAACTTCCTCTGACAATATTTACTGTATGTTTATCTGATGATGGAGGAGTTCAAGTTACTCACAGAAGACAGAGTAGCCGGAAGTTTTACTCAAGTAGGAGTAGCGGTAGTTTATAAGAATATTCCTCAAGTAAAAAGTACGCTACGGTTAAACTACTAAAAGTTTATTTTTTTTTATGTTACTCAAGTAAATGTAACTGAGTTAATGCGACTAGTTATTACACCGTTCTGTATATTCATGTGCAATTTTAAATGAATTTGTTATTAAATGGAAACACTGCAATTGCGAAACTTTGCATTTTAGAAATTAGCTGAATATCAACATAGTTTTGCACATTTTTGTAATTGAAACAAAGCTACTGAGAGAAAATTAAAAGGCTTTTGAAGACGTTCTGAGTTAAATAGATGATTAGAGTGTGGCAACAGGTGTCTTAATATTGAACTTGTTCACAATATTCCAATTATACTGACTTTAGGGTTTTGATCAGCTGTCAGTTATAATTATCTAAATTAAAATAAGCACTTGGAATATTTCATGCTGTGTTTAGTGAATGAATTTAATGTACAACTTTCACTTTATGATGGGAGATTAATCTACTTTTTCATGACCAGCACCTGTATATCCACAGAGCTGATGTGATCAGGGAAACGTTGCACTTCCTGAGATTTAATTTTAATATCAAGGAGGATTTTCTGTTTGTCTGTTAAATCTCAATAGAAAACTGTTAAGTTTTAAAATATTCACAGGGCCCGAAAGCCTTTGTAGGGGATTGCAGATAATAGAGATCTATAATGTTCTCACCTCCAGCCATCATCTTCTCCTTCATGCCAGGATGCGTGGTGACTGTGCTGCCGTAACCAATGCCATGAGCTAGGAGAGCGGTTGGACCTTAAAAAGGACAAAGCAGTTTAAGATCTTTTAGACACTGAAAATGAATGAGTGTCCAGTTCAGTGTCTAATGCGGAGAGATAAAAATACTAAAACTAAAACTGTATTCTGAAGTCTCATTTTATACTCAGGGAAACAATAACCAAATGGCACATATGCAGAATATCCAATATCATTGTGTCCTAAAGTTGTCCTCAACCTTAGCTATGTTACTAAGAATACACCTATACAGTATACAGTTTCAGCACCTCTCTAAAGACTCTGCAACACACTGGAGAGGGAGGGAAGTAAGAAAAGGAGAGGCTGAGGACAATGACTTCTGCTGCATTAACTTTGCTAATGCCCTATCGCTGCTCTGAGCTCATCCAAAAACTGGTAATAAATAGAAAGTTATTGATCATGCTGCTTTGGCTGCTTTCCCGTGTGTTCTCAAGATTCTGCTTTCCACACTGCCAGAACAGCAGACCGCCAGTTAAATCCAAGCTACTCCTGTTACGAGTCGCCACCCAGAGGACGCCAGTCTGGATGAAGAAGCAAACAGCAATGTAGATTCGCCTTACAAATGAGGTCAAGATAAAATTCTCATGTTGGTCTCATGACGGAGCCTCAGTGGTTCATTAAGGCGTGTGTTCCTGTGAGGATTTCAGTCAAATTTAGGACACCCTTCAATCCACTTTGCCGCAGCGGCCCCCTGTCCCTGTTTGAAACATCTTTCCAGTGTCCTTCCTCTGTCCATGAAAGCCGTCAGATAAGCTCTAAGTGCTTGTGGGTTTATTCAGCGACAAAAATCACATGTACAACCTCTCACTTGTGTTTTACAAGAAGAGAGGAAGCAAGAGAGGTCATCTAATGAAGAATCCCTAAATGCAGATGAATAAATCTCAGGTTATTCTCTTTCAATATATTTTGCTCTCCTAAATCTGCAGTGGAAACATCCGTTTCATGTTTTTTGCTTTTAGTGGCATAGGAGGCCGCTCTCATCATATTATTTCAATGTCTCTTCAGGTTTTCCTCCATGATTTCAGGCAGAAGGCTTTTTGAGTACTGTAGCCCATTTCTTCTGTCTGTTTCTATTTGTCTAAATGTAATTTTAAAGAGAAAATCACAGAAATTAAGAGTTTTAAAGTATGATCAAAAGAAATAACATAGCAAAAGATCAAAAACATATATAAAAATGACAAAAAATAATAGAAATTGCAGCACTTTGCAGTACTGAATTAGAAAGACCCTTACATTTGTTGGCTCATAAGAGTTTGCAAATACCTATGAAAATGCTTTGTGCTTTGAATCAAACCATGGTTTAAAAACTTTGTAAATGTGACACATTATCTGAAAAGTTGAACTAAAAAAACACGACAAAAAAAAAAAGAACTTTTTTTAATTTGAAAATCTCTTTCCTTCAACTACAGCTAATGTCAGCAGGAAGCTTTAGATGTGTTAGAATGATCTAATTATTATTAAAAGTTATGAGTCTGAAGAAGGATGGAAAAAAGAAAGCATCCAAAGGTTTCTCTATTGAGGACAACAATAGTCTGCACTTTTCTACACTAAGAACTAACATTGCATGACTGTCTTTTCTGCCCAAAGACAACTTCCAGGAATCATTTTTGGACACAAATGATCAAATCACATACACGTTTGAAAAAAATCTGGAACAGTCTGATGAAATCAACCTAAAAGTTTTTAGCTTTAATTCAAAATTGTAAGTTTGTCATAAAAATGCTGCATCATCCTGAGAACATAATACACAAAGTGAAACAAGGAGTTGGCAGTATCATGCTGTGGGGTAAATTTTTTCATTCCATTTTACCCAATACTTCATTTTGCCTTCTCCTCCCTAGCAGAGTCTTTCAAATAAAACATAAAAACAAGGTTTTGCAGCCATTTTCTTTTTGGTCTGATTTGTTTATAAAACCTGCCATGGTAATATGGGTGTGCAAACTTTGGGATCCTAGAACACAGTTCACAAATCATACACCAAATAGAACATGCTGTAAACTGCATGCATACAAATGTATGCAACCGATTCCAAAACAGTATACAAATTAAGACCAAATCAATTATCAGGCCTAAGGTCACGTCATATCTCATTTTCAACCTACAGACAGAGGTCGCCATCAGTAGTTAGCCCTGAATAATTAAAGCTTGTTTGTTTTCACGAGCTGTACCTGCACAGATGGCTGCAATCAGGCCTTTTCTGCCATCTTGCTCCTTTAACACCTCCTTCACAGCAGGAGACTGGAAAAAAGAAGGAAACAGATGCACAGTGAGTCATTTTCAGACCATGTGATGATAATGTGTATATGCTGACTATATTCTATTAAAACAGCACATTGGCAGTGATTTCGCACATGCAACAATCTGCAAATGCAGCATGCTTAAGCACAACCTAACCTTTATATAATTACGCTTCCTTTAAATACAGAGAGATACATTTTGAACAGACTAATCCTTCATAACGCAGAGACTGTGACTAAATAAATCTCAATGTGTTAGAAAGAACAGATGGGACTCCATACATCGACGGTACAATATTTGAATACTTTGGCAAACATTTCATTTTGTATTTAAAGAAAAAAGGCCCTGGTTTTATACCACAGTCTAAAGTTTGTCTATAAGGTTTACTTATTTAAAGAATTCCTCTGCTACCCCAACAGATGGTGGCAGAGCAGATCCAACTCTGCACAACTTGTTATATACTCTACAAGAACTGAGAAATTTGTTCTAGTTCTCGAGGTGGCAAAAAAAAAAAAAAAAAAGGTTTTTTTTTTGCCTTCGAGTATTCATGCTTCACGAAAAGCTCAGCTCCCAAACTCAAAGTCCTGTCCATGGCAGCTACACATGTAAAAGAAAACAACAGTAGCTCAAAGGCAGAGGAGACGTCTTTCGTACTGATGAGAGCAGAATGTTTCAGATGACTTCGATGCGTCAAAAAAAAAAGTTACCGGTACATTTTTTTTTCGATCAATCACACAACTGGTCAGGAACACGCTGTGAGAAATAAAATTCTACCCAGATGTGTCGAGAACAAGCAATGGAAACCCACAAGACAAGGCTGTGAGAACAAAACTATATCTTTTTGTTCTTAAGGATGTAAGAAAGAAAAAAAACTTTACTTCTCACAGAACAAGCTTTCTAGAAGATGTACATCTTGTTGCTGAAAACACTACAGGACCGTTGCTTCCTGAAGCAGTCTGCTTTGTAGACTGCTTCAGTTTCATCTCTTGCCTGTTGTCCAGGTGTACACCAAAGTATTGATTATGGCTGAATGACTTGCTAAAGATCAAAATTCTTATTATTTTTTAAACAATATTACAATGTCAATTATACGTTTTCCTTTGCAATAAGCACTGACCATGTAGATGTTTTTCATCTTCAAAGTGTTTCACTTTTTTCAATCTAGAAATAAATCAAAGTTTCTTAAATTAAGTATATTTACCCTTAATTTGAGTAGGTATTTAAAATGATTTGCTAATGGAATTAGTATTTTTACAATTGTGTTTTCCTATTTTAAATGTAAATTGTCTTGTTCCATTGGAAAAGAGTCTCTTGTTTGGATTAAAATGTTTTGCAGCAACTCTTTCTTCCCTACCATCCAGGTGCAGGACATCAGAGCTGGAGGACCAGGAAGGAACCCTGCTCTACAGAGCGTTATATAATTAAAGTTGGACAGTTACCAAAGAAGGAAAAGTGTGTTTGGATAGAGGTTAATGAACACCACCTGTAGCATACAGTAGAGTCAAAGTACAACACAACCAGATCATCCTTTGAGTCACTTTGTATCTTAAGAGAATTGAGTACATTTGCGATGCTGCTCACCTGTAATGATGGAATCATGTCTCCATTGAATTATTATAGAAATATCAGACTCATCCACCACAGAAACAGATTATAATGACGTCAATATTAGGAAACAACCTTAGAAAGGCAGTTTATGAAGTAGGTTTTTCAAGATGTATGTTATTTATGTTCTAATCTTCCTTTTCTATTTTTTTTTTGTTTATTATTATTTTTTTTTTTTTTACAGATTTTTACATTTAAACTGAGTCGATACTTGCTTTCAAATCCACTGGTGATCGCTGCTTATAGAGGAAGGGAAATTAATAAATTAAAGCATTATGGGTAATTTTGTTACCTCTGCCAGATTCTGGGCCCCTGGCATTCCTCCTGGTAGAAGCACCACATCATAAGGACCCTTGAAAAGAAACCAGCACATAAAACATTTTACAGCTTAAAACAGCAGCCATCGGCTAGCATCATTAATACATCTCAATAGGGGTCAGGACATAAATGAAAAGGTAGATAGTATTTTAGGTTTTAATGGCTTTTATAAATGGATATTAAATGAGAAGAAAAGGTCTTGCAGATTAAGGGTTTTAGATAGAGATTCAGCTTTTTATTTTTTTTTTTTCAAATAACAAACATTAATGTAGTTATAAGCTGACAAATTGAGATTTTACCTTAAAAAAACCAACACTATAAAGGAAATTATAGTGAAATGGGAGAGAGAGTGATATGGCTTTGAAAATTGGAAAAAACTCAGAAATACAACCCAGTGAGACCAATGACCTTTAGATATTAACCCGTTTTTCTTTGTGGGATAAATTTGAACCCATTAGATGACAAACTTCTGTAAACATCTTCCAACACCTGTTTGAAATCAGGCCTAAACTATAACCAAGTCATTTTAGTGCAAAAATATGTTTTTAACTAAACCCTTACATCAAGCATTGACTGTTTTCTTCCACTCCCCTCCTGTTGGTCATTGCTGTAACCATCTTCTCTTTCCCTGCATTAGAAAAGCATGATGGTGCCATAACCAAGAGTCCGTATGGGGATTCTTTGGGGATCAGGCTTATGTGCAGTGTTAGCTTTTCAACACATGCTGCATTTTGCATTAAGGCCAACATTTGTAATTTTTTGCAAGCTGCAAGCAAGACTGTGGTTACTTCTTTTAAGAAATGCTTGATTCTTTTTATATCAAAGAAAGGACAGATTTGCAAATTACATTACAAAAAAGTTCTCCGTCCAACTCCTCCTTCAGAGTATTTTAATGTTTTAATTGTAAATCATGTACATTTAATTGAAAGTCAATATCTTAGTAGGTTTACAGTTTTTCTATATTCTTTATTTTCAGATCAACCATTTAAATACTGTATTATAATCTCAAGATTCTTGCCAACACATTTCAGAGTCTTCATCGTCTGACATGGGAGTTGGCTCAGTTTCCTGGACGGGGCCGCTTTTTACAGCTACTTTTTGTATCTGTGCCTCTGTCTCCTTGAACCCCAGTCGGCCTCGGCAGATGGCCGCTCACACTGAACCTGGTTCTGCTGGAGGTTTCCTCCTGTTAAAAGGGAGTTTTTCCTCTCCACTATCGCTACAAACATGCTTAGTCTGAGGGATTGCATCCGAGTCAATGAGTCGATGCAATCAACTGATTTTCCTTGCATAGAAAACCTTGAATCAGTTTGACTGTATGATCTGGTGAACTGTTAAGTGCCTTGAGATGACATGTGTTGTGAATTGGCGCAATATAAATAAACTAAATTGAACTGAATTGTAACAGACCATTACACTGTTAGTTGTCAAGTTTATGTTCCACACTTCAAATGTGTACAACAGGCAGAAAAAGCTTTTTTAAACGCATTCAACAACTTCTTTGCACTTATATATCTGACTTAAAATTATCATCACTGTGAACACTTTCCATGTTTGTGATGCTTTCACTGACAGTGCCACTGTCAATCACAACAAAGACTCACTGTCTCATTTAAAAGAAGCAGAAGTGTTAGATTAGCAGCAACTGCATTTAGTTAAATGGGGATTAAGATAACCCAATGGGTTTGTTTGTTTATACTGAAAATCCAGGGCTGCCAACTTTTCACCAAACCTTGGGGTGAGATTTTGAAATAGCTTGGACAGGAAACCTTGTCAGGGTTAGATGAGGACAGGTGCAGCTATAGGTTGGAGGTTTTCAGAGGATTTAACTGAACCAAAGTGGCAAAATGTGGAATTTTTATAGCGCAGCAAATGTTAATGAGTTACAATAAGTGGTCTGTATGTTATGTGGAACTTTTTTCTCACAATATACATTATTTTCTACATTCTGGTGATTTTTACAGAACTGAAGTAAAGCAGAAAGGGCCCTACTAAAATACCTGCATCTTAAATATACTTTAAACCAAGAATTCCACAAGTTTGATCATAAATTTTCTCTGCAGTTCAAGTAAATTAAATAACAGGGAACTAACAAGCTGTTAATGGATTACTGGCACTGATACAGGAACCAGTGCAACTGAAACCTATTCAAACTATTAGGGGTGTAACGGTTCACAAAATCCACGGTTCGGTTCGGTTCACGGTTTTGTGGTCACGGTTTTTGGTTCGGTTCGGTATATGTTTATTGTTACACCGAAAAATAAAAAAAATTATAAAAATTATAAAATTAATGAATTTTTTTTTTATGAAAAAATCCCAAAAAAATTTATGAATTGCAATTATTTTTAATGATTCACGGAAACCATGGGTCATTTCCGCATGTTTTACTGCTTTGAATTTAATCATCTCGCGCATGCCCTCTACTATCTCCAAGGGACTCAGAGGGGAGCGGACGGGAGCCACAGTGGAGGCTGTAGGCCTTGCTTTGTGCAGGCGGTCTGGAGCGCAGCGGGGTGGAGCGGAGCAGTGCGCTGATGGAGTATGTGGGATTTCGGGGTTAGCATGACATGTTGGTCATGTTGCTGTTAGCATAAACAAAACGTGTTGCACAATGCTTGCACACTGCTGCACTTTTATCCACAACTTTCTTTCCGCCGTCATCGTAGGTCACTCTAAATGCAAAGTGGTCCCATACAGCAGACCTATAAAGTGCTGCTGGCGCGTCTTCCAACTCCTGTCAGGGTTTGAGGTTAAGGATTTTTACCACTTGCCCTTTGGGCAAGTGACTTTCTCATTTCATTTGCCCAGAAACAATTTTTTCTTGCCCAGTATAATGTTTGATAAATATAGTTCCTAATATTCATTATTGTATATATATATCAATGAAACATGTTTGTTTTTTAAACTTTTTTTGTAATTCAGTATTTTTTTATTTTACGGGTTCCTGGTGTGTATATGCATGCCTCAGATAATGAACTCAAGCCTACATTACCGTGTTAACTTGCCTTTCAATCCTTCCTGAACATTCTTTTCAAACTAAACTTTGCTTTAAACTGTTAAAAAGGTTAAAAACTTCAGATAAATCACAAGATAGAAGTCAATGTCAAAAATGAATAACTTATTTTAGAGTCACAGTATGTTTATACAAGATAATACTATTAATATAATGTGACTTTTCTAGAGTTATTTTATACAGGGTTTCCACAGTCTTACATAATTTCAGAATTCCCTGACTTTTAACTGACTCAGGATTAGTTTTCCCTGACAAAATAAATGCAGCAACAAGACAATAATAATAACATAACAGGTCACCAATTTAACATGTTTAGCTCTATAACATTTAAATGCACCTCTCCAATGTCTGAGAGAAAAAAAATTAATGAAAATTTTTTAATGTATGACAACTGTACAGGAGACTGCCATATGATAGCGCTTTCTAGCTTGTTTGTCGTTTTGGTAACTACATCAAAATTACCGCTAGGTTGACAAAAATCACGCCATCTGGCGGAAAATCTTGCGGCTTTTTCAAATCAAACGTCTTTTTCAAATCACGCGAGAATGTGTACAAAACAACAAAAATGGCGCCGGCTGGGTCGTTTTCAGCTAATGTCTGTGGTTTTAAAGTAATTTTGAGTGATAAATACTTTTTTTTTTGCGATCACTGCATTTGTCCGGCGGGTTTTCATAAACCATTCCATCCCTACAAACTACACTGTATGAATATATGGTAATAGGCTAAAGATTAAAAAGCTTCATTCATTAGGTTATTAGGTTTTCTTACAATTGACAAACGGGCTAAACAATTCAGGTTTTTCTAGGAGGCTGTAGATTTTATAAAATCTCACCAGGATAGGAGAAAGCACTTCTCTGGATGTTTCATTTGGAAGGTTTGATGGAAATTACGTTTTTAAACATATCAAATGGACCAAAATAAAGATAAATGAATATGATAAGTAATAATTAAAGAAGAACATCCCTGTGGTTTCTCCTCTGTGAATTCAGGATAACTGAGCTGTTCTGCACATCTTTTCTGGATGTGGTGGCCTTTTGATCTTTTGAAAAATAAAATGCAATGGTGCTTTTTCTTTTTGTGGACCTCCTATATGTGTTTGAGAGGCAAACCTAGAAGCTTTAAGAATTAAAATATTCCTGTTGGTTTAATTACTCCTAAATTAAAGATTACTAAACTAAACTGAGTTAAGTTTTAATATCCGTCATTTTTTAGTGTGAGAAATTTGGAATATGGAGTGAGCGGTGAAGACACTGAGATGGGTGAGTCTCACTCCCAATGGGTGAGAGTTGACAGTTCTGAAAATAATAAGATTGTTTAAATGCCCTTTACAAACGTGGACCTAAGCAAGTTTTTCTAACATGATAAAATGTAAATAGAAGGTAAGGGGCTGAGAATTGGACTGCTAAGTGGATGAAGAACAGACTCACCTGTTTGCTGGCTTCCTCCAGACTCGCATCAGGACAGATGACAACATTTCTGCTGCACTGGACTGGATCTTTTCCTGTCAGACCTGCAACAGTCACTGAGATCTACAGATATAAAGTCAGACTGATCACTACTGCAGACTGATGTCACATAAAAAGACCTTTAAAGTGAAAGCGAACTGAGGTTAACTGAGGTCGGACTCTGACATTTAACATGGCCCCTGTCTGACTGGCCTCCTTCTAAAGGTTATGGAAAACATCCAGTTAGTGAATTTAACAGCCCGAACAGCTAATTTAACGAGAATTTTCAGCACTCGAGCATTTATTATTGAAGCTTTTTGCTTTAGGTCTCTAATATTAACAGATAAGGCACGGGATATTATTTGACTCAGATAGACCAAAGTGGCCACTGCAAGGTTGCCTGTTACTTTATATCAGCAGGCTAACTAGCTAGCAGATAGCAGTGCAGTACAAACCCCGGCTCTGCGCATGACGTCCACAGGAATCACAGTTTCCATCTCTTCTGCACCTTTAGACAGAATCACCAAGGCTCTCTTTCCTGCCATGGTCAGTTTGGTGTTTCAACTCAAGCAAAGAGTCTCAAACTTCCAGCAGCTTCGTGCGGAGATGAGCGTTTGAAGGCAACATGGGTTGCCAGATCGCGTCCCTTAATCCCCCGATGAGGAAACAGTTCCAGCGCAGTGAACCACAAGGCTCTTTGTTTATAAAGATGTTGGAAAGTTCTGGATTTGTTTAAACATTCGGTTTAATACCGTGTTTTGTAACTGAGATGTGGTTGTCTGTGAAAATGCGTACAGGTTATCATTTTAGGCAATGCACCCAGAAAGTATGGAGGACCAATCCTGCCATAATTAAAAATAAATACATGCCAGGTATGGCAGGTCGGGGGGAAGCACAGAGGTATGGAGGACCAAGGGATGGAGGGGGGCGGTGGGGCACGGGGCCGCCTGCAGGTGGAGGGAAGAACTGTAAGCCAAGCGGTTGGAAGCATAGATATCCATAATAAAGGCTAGATGTCTCGTCCGCGCTGCTGGCCAATGGGGGTCGACGTCCGCACGTGGCGGCCATCTTACCACAGGCAGCTCGCTCATTCGTAGCATTGTGTTTCAATGGCGCATGTACTGAAATAACCATAACTTCCTCAATAGGGCTCGGGATCCACGTTGCATTGTGGGACGTCGCGGTCATATTGACGGCTACGCAAACGTAAACATAGCTCTGACACAACGTTGTTGTTGAAAGAAGAGACATAGAAGTAGAGAGAAAAAAGATGTTAAAATCCCGAAAAGGATCTGGAATTTACCGGGACACATTAAATAGAGAAGCCAGGGACCGGTATGTTAACAAAATCAGCATTATTAATCATTTGGATCCATATAAAGTTCCAAACAATGAGTGGAGCACCGATGAGTGAGCGCCTATACTTCAAAACAGTTCCGAAGCTACAAGTCCTTGGAGTCTCATATGCAGTTCATGAATGGATGGGTTCAGGAGCTGCAGATCATAAAGCCAGCAAACAGTGGGAACACAGTAATTCGTACGAAGGTAAGCTGTGATCAGACGGGCTCTGGAACCTGCTAGTTTAGCAACTGCTAACCGCTAATGCTAACAACCACTCACGCATGTAATGTACTTTTAACTAGCTGCTATGTGTTTCAAAGGTGTAGTTAGTAACGTTAACTGCCAACCCTCCGGGTTTCTCACGTATTTGAGCCTTTTCCCGCTGCCGTTTTTATTATTTTCCCGTAAAAGATCCCAACTTTGAAGGAAAGAAACAATGTAGGCTATAAAATAAAACCGTGCATCTTTAACTTACCAGAATGAAAATGCAGGGAACACACTCTCAATGACATTGGAATACTGTGGAAAGTTATGTTCGGTCGTCTTACAGCCGCGATCCAAGCTAGCCGACGACTCTTTATCTCTGTGACGCTTGGTCTCCATGGTTACGTCCATTCAGGAAAGCGGTGGAAAGTTAACCAATTTTCTATGTTTCCATGGCGATCATGCGTTGAGCTGTTACAGCCCACAATACAGCAACGGTTTACCATGGTTGAAATCAAGTTAAGGTGAAATTAATCAAATTAAAACACGGCTGAGAGGGAGTACAGTACCCGGTAGTCATAGGCAGTAGTCTGAGCCGCGGTAAAAGACGCATTCAACATGGCGGCGACGCGAAGTGCCTACGTCACGACGACCAAGCCCTATTGTCTAACTATTCTCAAACTGTTTGGTTTGTTAAAAAAAAGTCAGACATGTAGTTGTGATACTGCGCACTTAGGAATAATTATAACCATGGAATTTCATATGAAAAGAACACTGAATAGAACATACAAGTGCAATAAATATACACATGCACAAGGTATTTATGTTAAATCAATATATGCTATTAAAACTCAGTGTACAGAATGGCAACCATATATATATGGTCCCAGAAATATATATATATATATATATATATATATATATATATATATATATATATATATATATATATATATATATATATATATATATATAAATTGTATATATATATATATATAATATATATATATTATGGATTGTTATGGGAAGAAGCTATGTCTGGTCTACAAACAACATTCTGCAGGGAATGGTGTGGCCTTGAGAGAGAAACAGACTAAGTGAAAACTTTTATAGTGAGTAAATATGAATATTAATATATAAATAGAGAAAGATATAAATTTTCCCACAACAATACAATATATATATATAATATATATATATATATTGTATATATATAATATATATATATATATATATATTGTATATATATAATATATATATATATATATATTATTGTATATATATAAAATATATATATATAATATATATATATATATTGTATATATATAAAATATATATATATATAATATAAATAATATATATATATATATATATATATATATATACATATATATATATTGTATATAATATAAATAATATATATATATATATATTGTATATATATATATATAAACAAACCAAACTGTTTGTAAATCCGTCAAGAATTCAATGAGATAAGAGTATTTGTGTTTGTGCTGATCACTCACCTTACATTAAGTACCACAGAGCACACCAGAAAGCCTGCCTGTGGTAAGATGGCCGCCCGGTGATGCCGTTTGAGACTCCGCCGTAAGACATCTAGCCTTTATTATGGATATCTATGGTTGGAAGCATACCGTCACCGGGTCGGGTTCGTTCGGCTGGGTCAGGACCAGGAGCTAATGGCTCGGTTCGAATGCCCGGCCCGGTCAAGTCAGTGTTCCAGTCAGCAGCTACCCCCCACCCCCCCCCCAAAATAAGTTTCCTCCTTTGTAGAAACCCAAATCTGGTCACCCTTATGGAGAACCAATAAGGAGGACCAATCCTGCCATCATTAAAAATAAATACAGAAATAAGTATATAAATAAATGAGCAGAACTTGAGCCCGTAGGACACAGCCCTCCCATTTGCATAATGAGGCAGAAATGCATACAGAAATGTAAATACAACAGGCAGAAATAAATAGCATGGAGGAAATAAATAGGGTAAAAATAAATACAAAGAAAGAATAAAACAGACAAAAATATTACCACATACACATAAATAAATACTAAGTAATAAATAAATAAATAAAGTTCAAGATTATAATGCACAATAAATAAATAAGGTAATTATTACAAAGGCAAATAAACAAAGAAGCTGATTAAAAGATATATATATATATATATATATATATATGTCTCACTGTATAATTTAATTTCTACCTACATCTATTTGTTTATTGTATTTTTGAGTGGCGGTTAATTGTATGCTTATTTATTTTGGAGCATTTATTTATTTCTAAATTTATTTTTAATTATGGCAGGATTGGTCCTCCATAAGAAAGTGCATTTACAGAATATGTTACATTAAAATCCTTCTAAAAAGTGTGTGTGGTTTCATTTTTGCAAGGACTCATTAGCTTTAGAAAATTGATAGATTGATGTAATAGAATAAAATACATGTGGTTTACTTACTGCTCTTCTTTAAAGTAAATTAGTTTTTTTAACATGTCCATCTATAAAGTCACTATTAGGTGTTCATATGCAAAGCCCTGGATAATATTTATCTTTATATTAAGAAAATAATGAGGTAACAGTCTTTACCCAATTAACATTTTGAAGATATTCAACGTGAAGATCATCTGCAAAATTAAGTAGGCTATCCCAAAATGAATTACAATGTTATCTGTTGACAGGTGTTTTTTATGCATTCTCAGCTGTGTGATTTTTTTTTTTTTTTTTTTACAGTGGAAATCTGACTCTTATGTGAAAAACCTTGTTAGACTTGTAATAATTTCATATTTTAAGTACTTTCAGAAGTTTGAATTCTGAATGTGACCGGACCTCTCCTTTAAAACAAAGTGAGTTTGGTATTAATGAAGGCATGTATTCCACTAGCTTAAATAAATACTAACATAGGTGTAATATGTGTACCTGACATTTTTATCAGGCTCATTTTTTTTTTCTTTTAATTAAAGTTGACTCAAAAGTGTAACACAAGAAACAAAAACACAAAGAAAACAAAGCTCTATATTTGAGAAAGGTAATAATGCACAACAAGCATTTTGATCAATGTGCTGTTCACCAATTTTAATAAAAGTCAGTTAAACTGACTGCAAATTAAAGCAGGTGTTTTCAGTCACCTGTAATACACAATTTCTTCCAGTAGGTGGAGTTATTAGACTAAGGTTCTATGTGAAGTTTTAGGGGGGAAAAAATGCAGGCATTTTCTATATTTCAACCATCTTCAACTAAATTCAGTGAATACTTTGAACTTCAAAGTTTGAAGATAATAAACAGTTTCCTGTTTTAAACAAGAAACCATCAGGCTGTTTACTGTTCCTGTGAGTGAGTTCAAGAAACACGAACGAACTGAACCAGACCCACAAAGGCACTGCAGCAAATTTCTACAATTTAATTCACTTGAGCATTTACTGATACCCTTCATTTTATTATCAGAATGTACACAGAGTGGGAAGATGTTACAAAGTTGGAAACAAAAACGTACCCCAAGGTTAAGGTTTGTAGGCGACTGAAAACAAGTTCCAAAAAAGTAAAAAAAAAGAATCACCGGACTTTGTTTCCAAGTTTGAAGACATTTCGCTCCCATCCAGGAAGCTTTCTTAATTCAAAATATCTGGAGTAGCGTTGAGCTCCAGGCTTTTATAGAGTAGCCCAACAAAAGCCTTGTTATGGCTTAGAAAACATGCAAATTGAACTGAAAACAGGTCCAACCCTCTGTAATGGGGAGTCGTCAGGGTCCTTGTTGGCCTGGCTGACCAGGTGCGATGTTTTTACCACCTGCATGGTGGTGAGAATTAAGGTGATGTGTGGAAGGCATCTACTCTATCGTTGCATTATAGGTTTTCCAGAGCCTAAACCTGAGTCTGTTTAAGGTTGTTTTTTTCTCTTTTAACATAGATGGATTGCTTCACACCCCTTTCAAACCATCTGCCTTCTTTTTCCAAAATTTGAACATTCTGGTCCTGAAATGAGTGCCGTTTTTCCTTAAAGTGTAGCAGGACAGCAGAGTAGCCCACCTGTGTTGAGCCTGCGATTCAAAACAAGATTTGAAAAAGGACTGATCCAGAAACAGCTGGTTACTTTCCAACACATATCATTGTTATGAAAAAAAATATTCACCATGTTTTGTGTTAGAAC